TAGGGACTGTCCCCTGTGGGGTGAGTAAGAAGACCAGAATGGCCCAGCCAAGAAAGGGGAATTCACTAGCTGTTAGCAAAGGTACTAATACCCTGAACCTGCAGCAGTATCTTGTTTGCAGATAGCAGACCAGGGTGAAAGTTGCCAAGGAGGGATAGATCAGAGCGAACCCCGAATGAGAGTCGGAGCTGCACCTTCTTCTACCTGCAAAAGCAATGCTCATCTCTTCTCTGAACTGGCAGGAAATGCTGGGCAAGAACCGGACACGGTCCAAGGATGGCTTGACCTTTTTACAAACTCTTTCTTTTATGTCACCTGCCGGAATGGAGGACCTCTATCAGAGGCACAAGGTGAGATTCACCCCTTCCCTCTGGTCCATCTTCTGAAAGTCAGACGAAAGGCGAACTGAGAGGCTTCCCTCCGTTTGCTGCCATGGAGGGATCCAGAGCTCCCTCTGTAAGGGGAAGTGTTAAAAACAGCCACTGACCAGTGGCTGCATGTGTATTTGTAAGAGGCCTCTTTCCTTTCTCTCTGCAGAGGAAATTCCACGCAGGCTTGGCCCGGGTGATCACATGCCATCTCTGTCTTTTGTTTCTTGTTGCAACAGGCAGGAAGACACAAACCTCACCATCGCTTGAGAGGGTCTGCGGCTGCCGGCTCTCGGGCAAACAGGTGCGGTAACACTTCCTCTCCGAACCGTTGTACCTGACAGGGCTCGTGAGAGAGGGATTGCGTACCATCTTCTCTACAGCTGAAGATTTTTTAAACTGAGACTTGCAGCACAAAACAAAATCCCATCCCATTTCCCCCTTGCACCTTCTACAAGGGGTAGACTCAGAGGACGAGATGCTGAAACATGATGGTCCAAATCACAGGGTGGGTAGAATGTAGATCTGTATCTATTGGTAGAACTCTGTATCATTTGATGCAAGGACTTCTGGCTCCCAATTGTTAAATGATAGCAGGCATGAAATTATAACAGGACTGCTCGACAGAAGAAAACTTGGGGTAATCAAGAGCGGTTTTGTGCAGAAGGGCTGGAACTCTATTGTTCTGGTGCTCAAAACCAATTTGGGGGCTCAGAAGTCTTTAATTCTAAGTCTGGGTGTTTTGCACCAGGCTCCAGTAAGTGGATCTCAGGACTCTGATTTCAAAAAAGAGACAACGTGGATCCTGAAAGACTGACAGCTGTTCACCCTCCTGCTCTAGAGAACAGCTAATGGAAATGGGCAGAAGCATATTTTTAAATCGAGGTTTTAATCAAGCCTCTCAGTTCATGACATGTGTATTTATGTTGAAATTGGTCGTGTTTTAGCTAGAACTCAGTACTTGGAAGTGGGCAACTATTTCCAGCTTGTCAGTTTCCCCTTTCCAGGTAGAATTGCCAGAAAGCTACCTGGCATGGAAAGAGTCCTACTTCAGTGATAGAGAAACAGAAATTACCAAGTTTAATCCCAAGTCAAAATTCAGGTAGCAGGTGTGATTTCCTGGGGAGACAGTGTCATTCAGTGGACTGAACCGAGCCAGACTGGCACAGCATTTGTGGGCAGGTTCCTCTCTGCAGCCAGCAACTCCACTCTTTTAGGTGTGGGACCAACTGGAATGTAACATGCAAGCCTTTCCGTTTCCAGAGGGCAACCTGTTCAGTTTGTGCCTGTCGTACAGAGACTGCCTATTTTTTAAAAGCCTGGGAACGAACAAAGATGTTCTTTTACTTGCAAGAGCAACATCTGAGCATTATTGAACATTTATCAATGGCCCGGAGGAGGGGATAACCAGTCTGCTGACTAAATTCGTGGAGGCAGCGACCATAAACTGAGGAGCAGGTGATCCAGATCCAGAGGGAACTGGACAGGCTGTGGAAGTGGGCAGGGGACAACAGGCTGGCGTTCAGTGTGGGGAAGTGCAAGGTCTTGCACTTGAGACACAGGAGTAAGTGGCACAGGTACAGGATGGGGGACAAGTGGATGGAGAGCAGCGCTTGTGAAAGGGACCTCGGGGTGCTTGTCGACAGCAGGCCGAACTTGAGCCAGCAGTGTGGCGCAGAGGTTAAGGCGGCAAACGTCACCCTTTGATGCCTAGTCAGAAGTGTGGCTTCCAGGTCTAGGGAGGTGTTGATACCACTCCACACAACTCTGGTGTGCCCACAGTGGAGTGCTGTGTACAGTTCTGGGCTCCATATTAAAGGAGAGACAGAGCTGGGTTAGAATCGGTTCAGCACAGGGTCACACGAATGGTAGCTGGGGTGGGAGGGATGGCATGTGAGGAGAGATTGGGGGAACTGGGTCTTTTCAACTTGGAGAAAAGGAGACTCCAAGGAGATCTGATAGCGACTTACAGGTACGTGAGGGGATGTCATGTGGAGGAGGGCCGTGAGCAGTGGAGGGCTCACTTGCAGTGGAGGGCAGGACACCTTCCAGTGGGGCAAAGCCCAGGGAAGCAGGCTTCAGGTTGGATGCCAGGAAGAACTTCCTGACGGTTAGAACCCCTAGGATATGGAATGGGCTTCCAAGGGAGGTGGAGGCCCCATCCATGAGAGTGTTCAAGGAAAGATTGGACAACCACATGTTGGGGGTTACATGAGCAGAGCTGGCTGGAGCTGGGGGTCAGACTAGATGGCTCGGGAAGCCCCTTCTGACTCGCTTTGTTTCTGTTTCTAGGAACACACTCAGTTACATTTTGTCACGGAGCTTGATAACTGATATTTCTGGGACATGACCACTTATCCCCACTTCTCCTTAGACTAGAGGTGCTTCCAGATGGAGCATTTAAAGCGTAATCGGATTGTCTGTTTTGCAGAATTTTACATGGGGTTTCAGCATCGATGTTATCCATTCTCAATCCAAGTTTTCCCACCAGTCCTTCTTCTTTTCTAACCACGGACAAGAAAGTATTTGCTCATTGCAGTTTGATCATTAGTTGGAGGGCCCCTCGGTCTCAAAGTACCCACATCATCCCCAAGGAGAGCAAATCCCAATGAGCTTAAAGGGTTTCCTTTGATCCAGATGGGTCCCTTTTTGTCTCCAAGAGGTGAACGTGAAACACTCGAGATCTGATGTGAACGGGCTGCTCAGTAGTTGGTGTAGGATCTGTCTGAACAAACCAACAGCTACATCTGATTACTGGGTCTCCTGCAACATCTTAAGCCTACGACGACTAACGCCTTCCAGTGAAGATGATTGGAACTGCTCTTTTCCTGCCTCCCGTATTCAGCTGTGCCCTGCGACCCTCCCTGGATCCCCCAGAACTTCCAAGAAGTTGTGGGAGAAACTCTTGTGTGCAGCCCAAATCCAGGTTTCCTTGCAGAAGCCCCATCCTGGCTAATCAAGTCTAATTCCCAAGATACCGTGTACAAGAACTGCCCCTTTGCTCTGCAGCTGAACCCATTAATAACAACATATATGAATGCCTAATTATGTCATTAGAGAAGTAAGTCATTGATTGCTTCAGAAGCTATTACAATCTATACAAAATGTGCTAAAGAAAGGGGGGGAAAGAGGGGGAAGTCATCTTTTGTGTGTATTTGTGAATTTCTGCCTCCCTCCCCCACTGCTGTTTGCAGGACAGAAAGTCCAGGTTTGTGAGCCCTAGTCAGAAAAACATATGTTCAGTTGTTTTAAAGTGTAACCTACTTGAATTTTGAGAATAGGATGGGATATACAGTTTTATAGGACAGTTTTCCAAAACATTGAGATATATATACAGAAGATATATTTGCTACTAGCACATTTGAGAATTTTTTTTTCTAGTGTTTTTTTTCCCTGGTGTACAGGTTAGAACACACAAATGCAGTCAGGCTGCAATATATTTTTAAGGATAATGTAGGTCTCTTCATCTTTTTTGGCTTTATGCAGAAATATGATTATATGATTTATTCATTCTTATTATTTGTTGAGAGCCAGTGTGATGGAGTGGTTAAGAGCACAGATTTGGGACTCAGATGGTCCTGGTTCCAGTTGTTCTGCTATGGAGCCAGCAGGATGACTCTGGGCAAGTCACAACTCTCAGCCCAACATACCTCACAGGGTTCTTGTTGTGGGGATAAGATTGAGAGCCCTGAGTTTTTGGGGGGTTTTTTTTAGAAAAAGGTGGGGTATAAATCTAATAAATTTGTACATGAGTAAGGTTCCCCTTCCTAGCAAAATACTGTTTCCCTTAAGAAAGGGGAAGAATTCTGCATGTGTTCAGAGACATGCATGCAGAAGCATCAGGAACTGTATCCCTCTGCACATGCTCCGAGGAACCACCTCTGCAAACAGCTGTGTGAGAAACAGATCAGGTCAGCTTCCGTGATCTTTAAAAACCTCTACCACAATAAAGCAGAATAGGCTTTGTTAGAATGCTGCATATGCTCAGTGGCTCCTGCAGGTTGCACAAAACCTCTGCCTATGATCAGAGGCAGTCTCTGCATGGCTATTGTCCTGGGGAGCACATCAACGCCTTGCCTCATGGGGCTGTCTGTGTGCTGGAGCCACTGTCAAAGAGAAGCTGTGTGACGTAGCAGCTGGAGTGCTGGACGGGGACTTAGGCGGTCGCCTAGCGCTTGGCATTCCTAAGCCCCGGTCGCTCTCGGTTATGAAGCCCGCTCGGTAGCCTTGGGCCAGCCTCTGACCCTCGGCCTAACCTGCGTCACACAGATCACATGCACACGAGCAGCACCTTGCACGCCGCCGGAGGTTCCTTGCGGGACGCCACGCCCGCTCTTCCCCGGGGCGGGGCCCCGATGACGCACCACGGCTCGGGAGGACACAGCTCCCCGGTCATCCCTCCAAACTCCGCCCACGCGGGGAGGGGCGGGGTGGGTTCCTAGGTGACCAGAGCAGGCCAGCGCCCTCCCGTGGGCGCCTGCGCGTCACGTGCCCGGAGGGCGCTCGGGAGCCACGCGCCTCTGTGTGACGCGCGGCGGGGGCGGGGCTTCTCCCGCTCGCGGTTCCCCTCGCCTGGCCTGCGAGTCCGCATGCGCGCGCCGGCCGCTGCGGCGGGCGGCGCCCGCTGACTCCATGGAGGAGCAGGAGGAGGAGCCAGAAAAATCCCCGTCGCGGGCGAGCGGCGCTCACTCGTGCTCCTCCCTCATCCGCCTCGAGCAGGAGGCCAAGCGCAGGAAGCGGGCGCAGCTGCAGCAGCGCAAGGCCGCCGCCGCCGCCACCATCATGCCAGGTGAGGGGCCTCGGACACCCCCCGCCGCGTCTCCGGGGGGGGGCCGCGGGAGTGACGCCTCCCCGGTCGCCGTCGAGGGAGGGGGCATGTCGTCAGCCCCCCCCCGCTGCAGCCTTCCCCAAAGTGGCACCTCTTCGGATGGGGCGGACTACAACTCCCAGCATCCCCATCCCCCCAGGTTTCGGGGCCGTGATTACGGGAATGGTGGGAGTTGTACTCCAACGCACGTGTCGCGGAGGCTGCCCTGCTGATTTATGAATCTGCACGGGTGTATGCTGCTTCATCCCATTTATAACCTGGCTTTCTCCAGGCGTCCCCCATGCTCCTACTCTCCTGTCCAGGGTTTGTCTTCCAACTACCCTTTGAGGTGGATAGGCGAGGTATTGGTAGTGAACGCTGCTGGGTTCGCACAACAGGATAAATCTTAGTGGGTTATAACTAAGCCATGTCAGGTTCAGGTGGATTCTTGTGTTGCCTGAACCCCAGGCGGAGTGGCTTGATTGTGGTTAGTAAAACAACTTCTGGGTTCAGACAGCAGGACAAGCTGCTGTGAAACAAACTTGACTTTCAGCCCACCATCCTGGGTGTGGCTTCTTCCTGAACCATGGATTGTTGTGGAAACGGGTTATTCGAGCATGTTTGAATTTGCCCAAGAGAACAAACCATTATGAACCAACCCACGGTTGACAACCCATCCACAAACTGTGTGTAGTTTGTGTTTCATAAGGCATGGCTTGTTATTGCAGCTGGGTTCAAACAAAACAAGAACCAAAACTTTATCAACAACACATGTTTCAGCATACTCGGCCTTTGAGTGATGTGATGTACTGTGTTGTCTGAATCCATTCCATGTGTGTATGTGAGTGACTGGTTCAAGGTCATGAAGTTAATGTCACATGAGTGGGGTGCATCCTTAGGTTGTACAGCTTCTCCCTCTATACATCTTATAGCCTTTGAAGTAGGTAAACTGTTGAGCAAATGTATGCATGGATAGTTGGTCCAAGGTCACAAAGTTAGCATCAAAGCTCTGTGAGGGCTCCGTGTATCGTGAGATGCACAGCTTCTCCCTGCATGTTCTTTCTGTAGTCATTTATTTCTTACAACAACCCTATGAAGTAAGTTAGTCCAAGAAATATCCCAATCATCCCAAGATCCTCCAGTGAGCTTCATGGCTGATGGGAATTGGAACCTTAGTCTCCCCATCCTGGTCTCACTTTTAACTACTAGCACACACTATTTATACAGAAGTAAGGCTCACTGATTTCCATCTTATTCTTCTGTAGATTTTATATAAGATTACAGATTTTGTAAACTGATCCTAAGTGTGGCTGCTTGGAAGTAGCTATCTCTGGTTAGTGGGACTTCACTTCTGGATATCTGTGTAGTGGATTGCAACCTTACATGTCTAATGTCCTGACCTGAGAGCACTGGGTGCATGGTAACACTGAAAAAATTAAAAACAAGTGTAAAAGGTGCATTTTCTAAAACAGAGATAAGCAATTGACATGCCAACTCCACAACAAGGTACCTTCACCCCTTCTTGTGATGGCAGTGGTGCTTTGCTCCCAGTATTCAAGGTGGGCAACCATCAGCCACTGGCCCTTGTGCTCTGTCAAATGGGTTTTCTTGGAAGTACAGGTAAAAGGTATGAAATGCAATGAGTTGCCTTTCCACCTTCTGGAATAAGGTGAGTTGCATGTGGAAAGAGGGTCCCTTCCATGCAGTTGGATTCCTCACTTTAAAAAGTTGCCCCTCGTCTGGATTCATGGTTACATTTTGTTTTCAAAGTGTCTGAAGACGTGAACTTCTGTAGAATAATAATTAAAAACCCCAGCTACATTGAAAGACGTGGTGTTGGAAGGGCTTATTCTGTCATAACTCTTGTTCAGTCACCCCATTCTTTGGAAGCAGTGGTAGGTAGCTTGGATTACAGTTGGCAGCTTGGCCTCCAACCCCAGTCAGCACGGCCGTGAGAGTTACAGGGGTTGTCCAAAATGTCTCCTGGGCTGCTTTAGAAATTTAATTTGCATCTTCTGCTGTCAAGTGCTGAAATTCTAGATCTGTGCTTGGAAATAACTTCGCTTGTGTGTGGTGCCATGTGCTTCCATGGAGTGTGTAAAGTAAACGATAAAGGTACATACATTTCTCTGAACCATGAGGGTATAGCCTGACATCTGCAATTAGGGGCTAGGGCTTTGAATCAGGTGATATAGCCCTTTTTGCCATTCTTTTATGACTCAAGCATTTCTTGTTGTTTTCCTTTATTTTTATTCAAAGTGGGCGGCTGAGTATACATTATCCTTCTAATGTTACAAGGGCGTGCCTTGGAAAAATGGTGTAAAAGAAAGCAGTCTTCATATGGGACTGTGGAGAGAAAATACGGTTTTGTTGGGAATGGGAACTTTGATTTTCTTCTTGGCAAAAAGGTGTACATTGCCCTGTTACATGCTTAAAGGCTATGGAAGGTAGAATTTCTTAGAAAGCAAAGTGACCCATCTGTTTCCAATTTCTCCTGGTTCTGCAGACATGAACATTGTCCATACCATCCTTCCCCAGCCTAGTGCTCCCTGGCTGTACTGAAATAAAACCTGCATTATTCCAGGCTCCAAAACCAGAAGAGAATTCTCAAAAGTGTCAGTGAAAGTGTATTGCAGTCCATTGTGTTTCAGAACAGTAGGCTTTATCCAGCAGAAATTTTATTCCTGCATATTTTGAAGAAAGATGTGTTTCTCTCATAGTGGACAAAAGATAATGATTTATGTATGCTGTTTGAAGCAATTTTCAATTTTTGCATCTATAAGATTGACTCTGGAGATGGACCTACTGTTTCAACACATAGAGCTTGCAATATATTGCTGTTCTGGGCACTTTTGAGAGCCACTTTCTCTTATTGCACTTTTTGGTACAGGTGAAGGCCAGGTATATTTATTTATTAAGATGTCGTGTGTCCTGCTTTTCTGCTAAAAATGCAGCACGTGAGAAGCTAACAATACATTAATAGGCAAAAAAGATGCAATATACATCCGACAGAATCAATGGTGAAGACTTTTGCTGGACTGCATCCACTTAGGTTTCAGGTGAGGAGGTTGCCTAGTGGAATACTGTTTATGCATTGCACTTCCCTGCATGTGGGAAAAGTAGCGTGTCTAGGAAGAGCCTTTAGATGAGCCTTTTCTCCAGTCTGATGTTTTCCTGTATTCTGTTTGTGCACAGCATTCAGACAGGTACCAGCCCACCTGTGGTCGGAAGGGGTTCAGTTGCATGTATAAATTGGGCTTCTGACATAGGTGGCTCCTGGGTATCAGTTGCACAGCCTTGGCATCTTTGAAAAGATGTCAGTCTTTAGTTATGTAGTCTGTGCTGTTAAGGATCAACTGTGGCTTCTGCAGCTTGCCAAGTGAATATGTAGGTTGTCTCCTCTGTCTCCTTTTTTTCCCAGGGTTGAAGACAGGCTGAGCTAAAGCATTTTCTGGGAAAAGAAAGCAGGATCAGAGGAAACTAGGTGGCCAGTTAGATGTTAGCTTCTATTTCACCTTATCATAATTCAGACCCATGCATTTTTAAGTAGCTTAAATAAGCCACCAGTTATCAGCCATTACTGGGACGTGAGGTTTTAAAAAAAATATTTCTTAAACATTTTAAAAACATTGGACCAAGTACTTTAGCATTCTGGTCAAGGCGACAGACCATTGATCAGGTGGTTAACACACATAATTCACTTGCAGAAGCTCCACGTTTGGTGCTTTATTTTATTTATTAGATTCATATCCCACCGGTGTCACACACAGAGATTTCATATGTTCTCATTATTTCAACTGCAGACTCATAGAGCACAAGTGTAAGATTTTCCTAGGTAGTGTGGTGTCGTGTTCCCCACTTCTCCTTGGGGTTGCTGCATTACGGCTGTTCCAATTACAGATGCAGGCTTTCATTTCCTCTCTCACAGCTGTGGGCAAAAGTGGGTGAGCAGATAGGCCATCAGTAGCAGAGGCATGCAGTTGCGGGCTTCCCTGTCTTCCTTGCTCATGTTTTTGTATCGATTTACAGTACGGGAAAGCAGTGATGATGTGCTGGACTTGGCTGAATACGCAAAGAATCGGTCGTGGTGGCGCAAGCTGTTTGGACCCAAATCAGGATCCAGCGCGGAGAAGTACAGCGTGGCGACCCAGATTGCAATTGGAGGTGCTACCGGATGGTGAGGCAGTGCTCTGTGTTGGCTGTGCTTGCACTGGGGGCAGGTGAATGGTCTGTCCAGTGCCAGGGTGCTGCAGCCCATGGACTTCAAACTCGCATTTTCCTCGCTTCCGGCGGGGCTGCCTGTTCAGTGCTTCTGTGGGGTTTGCAGCCCTTTTCCTTCATCCTCCCTCTTTTGATTTGCAGGTGCACTGGCTTCATCTTCCAGAAGGTAGGGAAGCTAGCAGCGACTGCAGTGGGCGGTGGCTTCTTTCTGCTCCAGGTTGGTTATTTTCCTACCCCGGTCTTGGGAGGGTTGGCCACAGAGTGGGGCATCTTGGCTCTACCTTAGCAAGGTGCCTGCAGTCGTGGTGTACGTCCTTTGCATGAATGGCTGCTGAACTGGCCATTTGGGCAGCATCTAACCCAGCCTCGGTATATCACTCGCTGCAGCACATAACTCATGCAGCAGACTCAGTCTGGAACTCTGTTGCTTCTTCACGATTCCGTTGGAATGTTAATATATTCCTGGCAGTGTTCGCGGTATTCCGGCAGGTTAGCAGTTGTTGCAACTCCAGCTTTCTGGATTGCATGCTGTGGTATGCCATTAGCCCTGGAGGGGCTCTTGTCCTTACAGGCCTGGTGAGGAATGTCTTGGCTTCTGATGCCTATCAGTCTCAGCTAGCACATCCAGTCATCAGAGATGATGGAAACTGTAGTCCAGCAACACCAGGCAGGCTACAGCTTCTTTACCCCCGTTGCAGATCGAGGCTCTGGACCGTTTAACAGTCCTAGCCGAGGATATTGCATGCATGGAGCACGTTGGACGAGGACCAGGGTGGCTGACCGTGGGTCTGTTACATCTCTCAGCTGAACCGACCTCAGAAGGTTCTTGTAAGGACAAAATGGGGGCCGTGGGGAACTACGCTGCTACCCTAAATCGTTGGAAAGAAGGACTGAATGAAAATGTAACAAATCAAAGCGTTATATGACAGGCTAAAATGCTGTACGGAGATGCTGTTTTTTCCGGCACAGAGCTGGTGTGTGTGTGTTTATAAGATACAGCATCTGTTGATATCTGCCTGCCATTAATTTATTAAAGGATCAGGGCCTGCACAGAAAAAAGCTGCTTTGCTTATCATCTGACTTGTCAAAAAAAGAACCAATCTTTTCCTTTCCATTGCTGAATATGATATCATCTCTGTGGTTCCCTTTGTAGAAGATGTGAAGCAGCAGCAGCCACACACCATCATCAGTCAGTAGCAAAAACAGGCCCTAGATAATCTTATACCAACATCATCGGTGCAGCTCCTGTATTCTAAGCTTTGCATGCGTGGACGATGCATGTGCTGGTTGTACTTATTTGGTTCAGCTTGAGATGCATCCGAGGGCTTGGCGAGTAGCACACCCCTTCACTTCCTGGTTCTCTGCATGAGATTACAAATCTTCCTGCCAAGGAGTAGAACAGTTCTGCATCCATTGAGGCAAACCATTGAGGCCTACACCCAGGTTACAACTTCTTCCAC